CCAGGGACAAAGCACAAAGAGCTGTTCAATTTGGCGCCCAATCTGGCAATGTCTGTCTGTTCAAATCTGATAGTAAGTTCGGGGAACAATGTAAACCAATCGGATTGGTTTATGTTGTTCCCCGAATGTACTATCAGATTTGAACAGATAGACATTCACAGATTCCTGGTAATCCCACACTCCGAGCCGCCTTTGGAGAAATAGCCGGGATATCAGCAAATGCGTTCGCAGTGCACCCTTGAGAACTTCAGCTTGCCAAGGCACATTTCTGCTGCCCGTCCCAAATTGAAACAGGTATATCTTTGTGTTTCAGGGCAACCGCCATAGGCGCCCTTTTGGCACACCAGCTGGATTTCCCCCGTCTATGAGCAAAAAAACCCATCTGAAGCAGTACCCATCGATCTGCTCATCAAACCAATCGATCAAAAGGACACTTGCGGCAACCACGGAACCTCCTCTTTGCCTTTGGGGAGACACAGTTTGGAGAAATTTGGTGCCGTGGAGCATTGCAGACCCCAGCACCATGGCCGCCACAGCGATGGCTGCCAATGTCTTGAGGCCCGACACCACTAGCACCTCGACTCAGCCGCACTCTGATTGGTTTGGAGTGGCGTTTCTTTGGAGGTTTGGCGGTAGTTTCCCACTTCTCCCCCCCCAACCAATCCAAACTGCCAGTGAAAGCTTGCCTCGGCGCGTCACTGCATTTGCTTGGATATCCTCTCCAGAAAATTAGGTGCCTACCATCCCCTGGTTGTTGGTCTTGCACAAAAGGCAAAACAGGGTTCCTTGTCAGGATACATCCAAAAAAAGGCCTGATTTACAGGGATCCTCCGAATCAGCTGGTAGAGATGATTTGTTCACTGGCCCAAATACATTCTTTGGGGGGCCCTGCAAAACAAGTTACGAAATGCCCCTCCAGTTGAAAAACGGTTAGGCTACTCTCGCCCCTTATTTGGCCGTATCGTTCAAGGCGGTTTTAACACAGACCTCATGGTGCTTTTCGGGTTCCATCCCCTAGTTTCAATCAAGCCCGCCAAGTTGTTGATCCAATGTCAGTTGATCTATACAGACCCTGTCTCAGCTTGGTGTCTGCTTGTGTTGTGCTTTTGCGGGAAAGCCCTTTTGGTGGAATCCACACAGAACCAGAAGGCAACGTCCACTTCCAGAATTCCCTCAGACCTCTTGTGGCAATCTGAACTTGAAGAGGCATCCTTTGTTTAGCTCTTCAGTTTGGAGCGACCCCTCCGAAAAACTCCAAGAGGCGAGGACAACCCCACTGGAAAACCCTCTGCGCTTTACAGAAACTCGAGACAAGGCGCAAACACCAGGCCCATGCCCGCGAATTCCAGAGAGGCCGCGGCGGTGGTCTGCCAGCAAAGGCGCCAAAGGAACGCGTGGTCCCGGTCGAGACCGACTCCTAGCGCCCGTTGAACATTCAGATATCCTGTACGAGTCTTCTGGGCTGTCCGTTGTCAGATCTGCTAAAAGTTCTTAACTTGCGGGTTAAATGGAAAACCCCACGAAACCAACTAAAAAACTTAAAGGCTAGGGGGATGGCTGGTTGTCAACTATCGACCGGGCTTTAATGGAAGTCAAGTTCCCTTTGGGGAGGTCAATTGAAAAGAGCGACAACCATTTGTCAGAGGAATCTGCGCAAAGCAAAATCGACGATCATGAGTTTTCACTCGCTTTCTCTCTCTCTTCCCCTGCTGCTGATCTGAGGGCTGTGCCTGCTAGCTGCATCGAAAAATCTCATGCAAGAACCAAAGCCGGCGGATCGAATCCCGGGCGCGGCCCGAAAGCAGAGGGAAGCTGCGGGCGCTACGACTCCGTCCTACTCCAACTTGGCACTTCTTAGCGCAGATCCGCTGGAATCGGCGCTAAGCTGTCTGAGTTTGCTGCCGCCTTTTTCTTATCCCTTATCTCCCTCGAATTCGATTCGGGGGACTCGCTCATTTGGATGGGTTTTGATGGGAAACCGGAAGGACAACGCCCCTGTTTGAGGAGGTTCCTATGTTGGACCACCCCATCTCAGACTGACGTGTGAGGCTGCGAAGTTCATGCCCCTCCTTCACAGTCATCCTCCGGCTCACCGCACATGGGCAGGTGGTCAGATGGGTCAGATGCAGCGCTTGCCTCGCTGCAACGGGATGCGTCTCGCACGGAAGGCCGCATCCGCCATGCACACTGCTTGGATGCGCCTTTTCTGGGTGTTAGAGCCGGACACTGCGCTAAGGCCGTGCAGTTTGCACCAGACTTCTTTTATGGCTCCAAACACATGCAACTTGGAGCAAACGAAGCCCTAGCATATGCATGTTTATGCACCAGGACCAAATGTGACCAACCAATCCACGTGACAGCGATTCTGCAGAGTCTATGTTGAACATATGCATCCAGCAGGCTCGAAGCCAGATAGGAACGTCATGCAGCTAAGGGCACTTGCTTGAGACACAATGGGAATGCTCTGAACACTTGCTGAACTTCCTTGAAATGCTCTATATATATATATATGCACCCCCCCCCATGGACCCTGGTTTTACTGCCTTTTGGGGACGGCCAATCTAGAATTTCAAACTTTATATTCTCGAAATGTCCAATTGTGGGTCTCCAAAGCCTGATAACTTGGAGCCCGGAGTCCTCCACAATGTCCCAGTATGATACCCTTTCCAAATAGGATTTTACTTCAACTAGAATTGATTTTTTTGTAGTTTTCAAAAATGTGTGTAAGTTCAATTACACCTTCAACAAGGCAGCCGGCTGTCTGGCCGCCGCGAAACTCTTGCAATTCTGAAACCTCCACAGGCGCGCGTTTTTCAGCCTTTGCAGCTTTCTGCATTCGTCGACAATGTCTTAGTCTTTGGCGACTTTTTCCCCGAACGTACTTACAGCATCATTGCCGAGATAGCGATAGGGCTCCAGACTTGCAGCTCCGCAGCTTGACGGCGTACTGACAAAGGAGTGGCCACAGCTGCGCGAGGAGGCCTCAAGGTCTGCGGAGTGGAGGGAGCAGCAGCCATGGGCGCGTCGAGAGTTGGTGGAGCTGCCGAGACTGCAGAGCGCACTCGCAGAAATAGTGTGTACTGAGCGGCCAAAAGAAAAACAAACCTGCAGGAGCGAGATGCAAGTTGATGGGCCAGCGCACGAAGCTACAGCAAGTATAAGAGGGATGCGGAATCTGCTAGGGCAGAGAAGAGAAGGGGGAAGCGCTCTTCAATCAAAGCAACGCCTTGAACAAACTGAACCAAAGGGTCAGCAGGGGAGAGGCAAGCAATGCGATGAAGATCCTACAGATACGCCAGCGAAACAGAGAAAAAGCCTGCCAGCCGCAGATCAACGTTAGGAAGAGGCGCAAGCCACCGAGCCGGAGAAGCAGAAGGAAGGAAAGCATCTCGCGGTGCTTAACGTTGCGCGAGCGACAACACATTTGCCGTGCTTAAATGCTCTAACACGATCATGTGGGTTAAACCGGTTTGAAACCAAGCTGTGTCGAAAGTGGATCGCCAAGCACTTGAACATATGCTACTATCGGATGGAAGATTCAAGATTGAAGATTACACAGAAAGCTGTCCTGAGAATTGTCAATCCTGGCCAAACCCAAATAACATTCAAGTTCTTCTAACACTTGAAAGTGCTTTACCACTGGATTGGGGATTCAATATTGAGGAGTGCACAAACAACCACTTTCCTGAGAGTCATCCATCCTGGTCAACCCCTAAAAATGTTCAAGTTGTTCTATCACCTCGAACATACTTCACCACTGGATTGAAGATTCGAGATTGACATATTTCACGGAAAACTGTTCTGAGAATCTTATTGAACACCGAGAGTATTGGAACAACCCTGGAATATTGAAAACTTTTTTGAAATTATGGGATTCAAGATTCAAGATTCCCAGAAAATATTTCTCCGATTCTTGAACCTTGAATCTTGAATCCAGATTCTTTAAAAAAACAATGGGATTCAGGATTCAAGATTCAAGATTCCCAGAAAGTAGTGTCTCACATTCTTGAATCTTGAATCTTGAATCCCAAATTTAAACAAAATGTCTGAGTTGTTCTTGTATTCTTGGATGCATTCAAACTCTTTCAGCTTGCAGATGCTGATGTCATTGTTTTTTGTTTTTTTTTTTTTTAATGACATGTACGCATGCATGTGTATCATATACACGTATGACCCCGCCCAATTTTGACACAAATCCAAGAAGCAAAGAAAAACATAAAACACCGGAAAATACAGGTCAAACGCCCCAAACCAGGGTCCATGAGAGGGTACCATATATATATATATAGTAAATATGCGGGTGCAACCTGCGAAGTGCAATCCTCGCCGTTCGGAACACATTCGGGAACAGCGCATTCCCAAACTGGATAATTCATGCAACCCCATATACAGTATGGAGCCTTCATGGAGCTCGTTTTACCACTCGTTACAATTTGATGGAGTCAAACCCGAAGAGACCGGCCCCTTTTGCTCCCAAAGTCCGACAACGGCCGTGGCTACCCTCAATAGGAACCTCTTCACATATGACCTACATATGAATTGTACCCCAAAGAGAACATGGAAAGATTGGAAAGATTGGTTGTCCCCCGTCGCTTTGGAGCCAACTACTATTGGCTATCCCCTGGTTTTTGTGGGACATGTGTGTTGTGCCCCTGCGACCCCCCAAAGCAACAGCTATAGATTTGTCGGGATGCACTTAGATTGATTCAGATTGGGGCACTGTTTACGGAACCGCCCATCTCTTTGAATCTGCAAGAGCTCGACTGCCATCTCCCTCGCAGTTGGTGCCCCCAGCGCAGCCAGGTCCCGCTTCAAGCACTGCACAACCGCAAGTTGAAGAAAACCCGTACCAAGATCCGCTGCCACGGATCCAGGGCTCCCTACATTTCCCCTTAGAACATCACCACCACAAAAAGGTGAGGTTGAAAAGACCGCCCAGGGGAGACATAGGAATCGACCCCCGGATCTGCGGGACCCACGGCTCCGTCTGACCCTGGCGCCTGCCACTTTGCCAGCTCCTCCACCACCTCCCGGCGGAACGGCCGTCGCCCGATCCCGTCCGCGGTGAAGATGAACAGGTCCTGCGCACGACTCCGAGCACTACGCCCACCACAGGTGGCCTTAAAAGGAAAGAATCGATGGCCCTGGCAAATGGAATACACCCCATCTAAACCAGAGCTCTCTTTTTTTAAGCAAACCAACCAAAAAGGACACCTATGAGATCTTTCTCGATGCAAAGAGACGACTCGTGCCATCACACCCTCAAAAGGACACTTGCTATTGAAAATCGCCCAAAAGTGGTGGTGATGTTGCAACCCACCAGAAGGGGAAATATTGATGGAGGCCTAGCTCTACAAAAAACGGCAACCGGCGAGGAAAGCTCAGCCAAATCTGGAATAAACCCTCTGGGATGTGGTTGGGTTGACCCAACAGCGTGGTCCAAACATGTCACAACCTTCGCCCTTAGATTTCACGCAGCAAAACTGAGCTGTAGCCATACACGTCTCCGGTATCTACCCCTCTCTCTCTCTCTCTCTCTCTCTCTCTCTCCCTCTCTCTCTTTCTGTCTCTCTTTCCCCTCTCTTTCTTTGCTGTCTGTCTGTTTTTTTTGCTTTCTTTCTTTCCTTCTCTGCTATAGACTTCCCTCGCGGCGAGGCGACGCGTTTCGTCGAGCGATGTCGCCCGCAGCTCCTTGGAACTGAACTCCCAGCGGCCCGGCACCTGAGTCTGAGAGAAGCTCCGGCGGGGTGCACCCCCGACCCCCCCCCCCCGGCGCTTTTTTTGGGTGAGGGTACTTCTTTTTTGGGGGAGTTGGTGTGGTTGTGGTTGCTTGCACTCTTTTTTTGGGGCTTTTTGGGGGGAGCTGGTTTGGTTTTGGGTGCTTGCATCCGTGGGGGTTTGAAGGAAAAACAACAACAGGCACTTTGATTGTTGTATCTATGGGGTTGGTTGAAAACCCGGCCCCAAAACCGGGGGGTCCCACATTATTGAGGCAAACCCAGCTGCATATCAAACACGTGTTTCTTACCAGCTCAACATGAGAAGCTCCTTTTCTCCACAAAATGAGCTATTGTAAGGGTGGTGCCACCAGCTGCTTGTGAATCCTGGATTCCCATCACCCGTCTGAGCATGATGGTTCCTGCGCACGAATCATCTGAGTCAAGCCGTTGCATTCTGCAGAATGATGTTCCGTGTGCCTGTCGGAAATCAAGCGTCGCGAAAGTGACATGCTGAGAGCAGGGCGGGCAGGTCGTCCGCCAAGGGGGGCGGGGTAATCAGCGGCCCTGACCTTAAGCGGCACAATCAACCCTTCCGAGTGAAGGCCAGGAAGTCACGGCTTGGACGAGTGATTCAACCCTCGCACTTTGAAACCTGAGTGTGACAAGAGCTTCGCAGTGTTGCAGATTCAACGTGTGTCTGGATTCGCTCGGTTTCAAGGAACTTCAGGTTGCCAGCAGCAGATCAAATTCGGCAAACGGCCAAGCCAGGCATTTTGCCAGCTGCGCAGGGGAACTCCCAAGCAACACCTTCAAGAAGTCTAGGTGTGTCAAATGCATCCTTTCGATTCTTGATGTGAAGCACAGGCCATACTAAAAACACGCCAAAGGACTGGCAGCTCTCCAAAGGTTTGAAGCTGAGTGGAGTGGATGGGACACCATAGAGTGGTACACCATACGCCATATCTTTAATATTCGTAAACCCAAAATGAGTGGGACACCATATATCACCAGGGAAACCTTCATGGATCGGTCGCACGCCAAATCCGGATATAAATCCCATGTCGGTCAGCTCTATTGTTCCACCAATACCCAGAGAGACAGGCAGCTCAGGCCGTTCAAACGCTTGTCCGTCACTTTTGTCTGCTGAGGCTACCCTGCTTGGGGTCTTGGAAGGCAACCAAAAGGCAACCGGCCCCATGTCGCAGGGTCCACTGGCCCCTCCCCACCCCTCTCTGAGTGCTCTCTGAGTGCCCAGACCCCGGACCGCAGGGGGAGGGTCCGTAGTGCAGGGTGAGGACTTGCATCTGCAGGTCTTGTGAGAGATCTCCTGAGATCTCGCGCGGCTCAAGTCTGGCGCCATGCGAGGCTCGGAGAAATTTGGGCTGCAATCATCTTGACCAAGTTGCAGATTTGGGAACAAGTTGCTGGCAATAAAGTGGCTATGGCTCCCAGATTTGGGATGATGCCTCCCCCGACACACCGTGACACATGGCACCTCCGATTTTCGTCGGGGGATCCGGAGAGACGAATGCTTTGCCTTTGTCATGGTAAAAGACAACCAAAAAAGGGCCCTAATAAGTGTGTCTTTCTTTGAAGGGCACCTTCTCACCCTGATTGAAACTGAAAAGGAAAACAAAAGCCGTTTTGCAAGTCCAGTCCAAGTCCCCACTTTGACACAGTGAGACTCACACACACACACATTGTTTGACCCCTTCTCGGTTCGCCGCTCGCGCAAGAACTCCCTGGCCTACTGAGTCCGAGCCGATGAAGAGGTGGCGGTGAGCGGTGGAGGCATTGAAGTACCTGCCGCGACGTGCCCGCGAACCGCCCCTGGTACCTGGGGTTGGTCTGGTTTGAGCTTCCCTCCGACAGGGGGCCGGGAGCCGAATCGGCTCGGTGGTTTGGCCGAATCGAGCGAAGGAAACCCCATGGCCAAATCGGTGGTTTGGTGCGGCGACGTGAGAGACCCTATCCTACAAACACCCGGCTTCAAATCCCCAAACCACCAGTCCAAACCGATTGAGGGGAACCTGACCGTTGATCTCCGGATTAAGAACAAAAACCTATGGGATGGGCAGTCTTCCAAGGCGGGTGGCCGTAATCAACTAATTGAAGGGGAACCCCTTTTTCACTCGCCTTTTTTTTTTTAAAGAGCTCTTGAAATCGCAAAACACACACACACACACACAACCGCGAGACACCCTAAATACAATCCCGCCGGTGATCGATGTCGGACACCGCCCTTCGCATCTCAATCGCTCGATCGGTCAGGCGCGCACGTGAGAAGTGGGAGGATGGAGTTGAGGGGCCGCTGCGATGCGCACCGCACCTCTGCGACACAGGTCCCGGGAGACTAAGCTTTTTGAGGGGGGTGCGTAGGGAAAACAGAAGGCAACCACTATACCCGTTTGGAGACAAACCTAAACTCACCAAATTGAAACAAGACAGGAGCCTTCAGTGAGGTCGCCAGCCCCCGTTTGCGAGGGAAGGAAAATCGCGCATCTCAAGCAGCTCTCTCTCCAGGCCAAACTGCTAAAGAGGCCAAGCGAGAGCCATTACAAAGTGCACAGATCCATGTGAACGACATGTCAAGTCGCAGGCAACTGGCATTTCATAGGGGACAGATTTGTCAGAACACTTGGGCGCCCAACCTCAGATTGAGATGGATTGATAGGCGTTTTGGCAAAAAATCGATGGGTTTCCCTAGTAAATGGGGCCTCAAACCCATCTAAACCAGTGGAACCCATCTAAACCAGGAGTCCAACAACTTGTCCGCGGCCCGGGCCCAGCATGTTGGGGCGCTCAAGAAGCACCTCGGACTTGAGCCCAGCATTTCTTTGTCATACGAGTTGTGTCCTAGAATTGAATATCTTGGGATGGGGTTCAGCATGGTTTGTCTCAACTTGCCCGCACTTGGATCAGGCACGTGCTTGAAGAAGATAGTTGGCCAGGTGTTTTTTCTCGTTGGTGGAAAGGCAAGCCATTCTCTCCATAGGGCATGAAAAGAGACGTACCCTCCTCTTCCAGGGCAAAGGAAACAAAGACGGCTTGCAAGTGCCATGCCTTTTTGTGGAACCCTTTGCATGTTCTACCCTACAAATATTGGTGCCCACAGACTGCAAGCTCTGGTGTTGGAGCGTGTTTTAAACAGGCAGCCACAAGGCTTCTCAAGTGCCCTCTTGGGCGACACAGGCGGGTTGCAAAGCTGCAAACCAACCTCAATTTGTTGGTCGGTCTAAACTGGCATTGATGTGCTTTTGTTTGAACTGCTTAAGCGGTCAACATGTTTGGCCTGATAGCTCCAAAAGAAACTGACTGGTGTTTTATGTTTGGGGGTATATGGGCTAATGGTCAGAGACAACGGCGTCTGTACAACCAACGTCACCTAGGCCTGGTATGCAATAGGACTAACTCCAACCGGGGGGGGAGGGAGACGGGGAGCGACGGAAGGCGACGGGGAGCGACGGAGGGCGACGGAGAGCGACGGGGAGCAATGGGGAGCGACGGGGAGCGACGGGGAGCGAGCGACGGGCAGGGAGGGAGACGGGGAGCGACAGGGAGCGACGGGGAGCGACGGGGAGCGACAGGGAGCGACGGGGAGCGACGGGGAGCGACATGCCGCTTGGCGGAGGGTTGCTAGCGTTGGTGTGCATGGATTGGCTGAATGAATGACGAACGAAGAAACCAAACCCAACGAACGGGTGAATGAATGAATGAATGAATGAATGAATGAATGAATGAATGAATGAATGAATGAATGAATGAATGAATGAATGAATGGCTAGTAGTGCGCGGAATGGACTGAATAGGAAGTGGTTCTTGGTAATAGTTAAAATCGTATTACAAGCAGTAGTAGGAGCAGGAGAATCAGTGGTATAATTTGTGTATTAGTGGTGCTGGAAGTATATGGCCATGGGTCAAAATCCAAATCGTACCCCCAGTGAACATCCCAATCCAACCACTAAAATAGGTCCTAAAATGGGTGGTGAATTCACCTACCCACCAAAATGGGAGCCCAAAACGGTTTGACCACCACAGCCATATGTTATTCAATTGACCAAAACTGAGAACACAAAACCAACAAACTTTGCTCACTGTAAATATTGCGCGACCTTCCATAGACTCTCATGGCCCTTGCAAGCAATAGATTGCGTTAGGGAAAAGGGAGAACCTTGTAAAGTAGCCAAGGCGCAAGCAGATTGTAGTTGCCATGCAATATGACAGTAGCTGCTGAAATATACTCAACTTCAATATGTGCAACAATCAATATACAGCCCGCAAGGGCAAATCAAGCTGTTGGACCCCTGGTCAGGGCCCTGCCTCCAAAGTTAGTCCGCTTGGGCCGCGCAAAACTTGAGGTCGCTGCAGCTTTGGATGATGACCAAGATAAGGTTTTGGTGAGCTACTTTTCTGCGCATAAGACCTGTTGCGAAAGCACGCAGGTTGCAGTGGGTGGGGGTGGAGTTGGAATTTGGGAGTTGGAATCCTGGAAGCTGGTGTTGGGATCTTGCGGTGTGTAAGTTGGAATCCGCATGAAGTGGGTGTTGGAAGCTAGTTGCGTGTCACTCTTGCACGGGACCCTCCCCCCACACCATCAAGTTCACTGCGGGCCTGTGGCGTCACGAGTCTGCTCCGCGTCAGCTTTCATTTCGTCAAAGCACGACAATCCACCGCCTTTTTGTTCGTGCATGCGGGAATCACTGCGGTGAGGTCTCCATAGATGCTACTCAGCAACCGAAGCATCGCATTTGACCTCGAACAACCCTAAACCTACCCTAAACCTTCCCTAAAACAATGCTACCCAAAACCAACCCTAAATCCAACCCCAAACCGACCCTAAACCAACCCTACCAACCCTAAACCAACCCTAAACCCACCCTAAACCGACCCAAAACCTTCCCTAAAATCATGCCGACCCTAAACCAACCCTAAACGAACCCTAAACCGACGGGGAGCCGACGGGCAGCGACGGGGAGCGACGGGGAGCGACGGGCAGCTACGGGGAGCGACGGGCAGGGAGGGATCGGGGAGCGGCGAGGAGAGACGGGGAGCCACGGGAAGCGCAAGCAGGGAGGCAGACGGGGAGAAGCGGGGAGCGACGGGGAGCGACGGGCAGGGAGGGAGACGGGGAGCGACGGGGAGCGACGGAAGGCGACGGGGAGCGAAGGGGGGCGACGGGCGACGGAGAGCGACGGGGAGCGACGGGGAGCGACGGGCAGGGAGGGAGACGGGGAGCGACGGGGAGCGACGGAGAGCGACGGGGAGCGACGGGGAGGGACGGGGAGCGACGGGGAGCGAGAGACGGGCAGCGACGGGGAGCGACGGGCAGGGAGGGAGACGGGGAGCGACGGGGAGCGACGGAGAGCGACGGGGAGCGACGGAGAGCGACGGAGAGCGACGGGGAGCGACGGGGAGCAACGGGGAGCGACGGGCAGGGAGGGAGACGGGGAGCGCCGAGGCGGGGAGCGACGGGGAGCGACGGAGAGCGACGGGGAGCGACGGGGAGCGACGGGCAGGGAGGGAGACGGGGAGCGGCGGGGTGCGACGGGGAGCGACGGGGAGCGACGGGGAGCGACGGGCAGGGAGGGAGACGGGGAGCGAGCGACGGGGAGCAACGGGGAGCGACGGGCAGGGAGCGGCGGGGAGCGACGGGGAGCGACGGGCAGGGAGGGAGACGGGGAGCGACGGGGACCGACGGAGAGCGACGACGGGGACCCGTGACGGGGAGCGACGGAGAACGACGGGGAGCGACGGGGAGCGACGGAGAGTGACGGGGAGCGACGGGCAGGGAGGGAGACGGGAAGCGACGGAGACCGACGGAGAGCGACGGGGAGCGACGGGGACCGACGGAGAGCGACAGGCCAGGGAGGGAGACGGGGAGCGACGGGGAGCGACGGGGAGCGACGGGAGACGGGGAGCGACGGGGAGCGACGGAGAGCGACGGGGAGCGACGGGGAGCGACGGGCAGGGAGGGAGACGGGGAGCGGCGGGGAGCGACGGGGAGCGACGGGGAGCGACGGGGAGCGACGGGCAGGGAGGGAGACGGGGAGCGACGGGAACCGACGGAGAGCGACGGGGAGCGACGGGGACCCGCGACGAGGAGCGACGGGGAGCGACGGAGAGCGACGGGGAGCGACGGGGACCCGCGACGGGGAGCGACGGAGAGCGACGGGGAGCGACGGGGAGCGACGGGGAGCGACGGAGAGCGACGGGGAGCGACGGGCAGGGAGGGAGACGGAGAGCGACGAGGAGCGACGGGGAGCGACGGGGAGCGACGGGAGACAGGCAGCGACGGGGAGCGACGGAGAGCGACGGGGAGCGACGGGGAGCGACCCGGGGAGCGACGGGGAGCGACGGGGAGCGACGGGGACCGACGGAGAGCGACGGGGAGCGAGCGACGGGGAGCGACAGGCAGGGAGGGAGACGGGGAGCGACGAGGAGCGACGGGGAGCGACGGGGAGCGACGGGAGACGGGGAGCGACGGGAGCGACGGAGAGCGACGGGGAGCGACGGGGAGGGACGGGGGGCGACGGGGAGCGACGGGGAGGGAGGGAGACGGGGAGCGACGGAAGGCGACGGGGAGCGACGGAGGGCGACGGAGAGCGACGGGGAGCAATGGGGAGCGACGGGGAGCGACGGGGAGCGAGCGACGGGCAGGGAGGGAGACGGGGAGCGACAGGGAGCGACGGGGAGCGACGGGGAGCGACAGGGAGCGACGGGGCGACGGGGAGCGACGGGCAGGGAGGGAGACGGCGACAGGGAGCGACGGGGAGCGACGGGGACCCGCGACAGGGAGCGACGGAGAGCGACGGGGAGCGACGGGGAGCGACGGGGAGCGACGGAGAGCGACGGGGAGCGACGGGGAGCGACGGGCAGGGACGGAGACGGGAAGCGACGGGGAGCGACGGGGAGCGACGGGGAGCGACGGGAGACAGGGAGCGACGGGAAGCGACGGAGAGCGACGGGGAGCGACGGGGAGCGACGGGCAGGGAGGGAGACGGGGAGCGGCGGGGAGTGACGGGGAGTGACGGGGAGCGACGGGCAGGGACGGACACGGGGAGCGACGGGGACCGACGGAGAGCGACGGGGAGCGACGGGGACCCGCGACGGGGAGCGACGGAGAGCGACGGGGAGCGACGGGGAGCGACGGAGAGCGACGGGGAGCGACGAGGACCCGCGACGGGGAGCGACGGAGAGCGACGGGGAGCGACGGGGAGCGACGGGGAGCGACGGGCAGGGAGGGAGACGGGGAGCGACGGGGACCGACGGAGAGCGACGGGGAGCGACGGGGACCGACGGAGAGCGACGGAGAGCGACGGGGAGCGACGGGGAGGGAGGGAGACGGGGAGCGACGGGGACCGACGGAGAGACGGGGACCGACGGAGAGCGACGGGGAGCGACGGCGAGCGACGGGGAGCGACGGGGAGCGACGGGGAGCGACGGAGAGCGACGGGGAGCGACGGGGAGCGACAGGCAGGGAGGGAGACGGGGAGCGACGGGGAGCGACGGGGAGCGACGGGGAGCGACGGGGAGCGACGGAGAGCGACGGGGAGCGACGGGGAGCGACGGGGGGCGACGGTGAGCGACGGGCAGGGAGGGAGACGGGGAGCGACGGAAGGCGACGGGGAGCGACGGAGAGCGACGGGGAGCGACGGGGAGCGACGGGGAGCGAGAGACGGGCAGCGACGACGGAGAGCGACGGGGAGCGACGGGGAGCGACAGGCAGGGAGGGAGACGGGGAGCGACGAGGAGCGACGGGGAGACGGGGAGCGACGGGGAGGGACGGAGAGCGACGGGGAGCGACGGGGAGCGACGGGGGGCGACGGGGAGCGACGGGCAGGGAGGGAGACGGGGAGCGACGCAAGGCGACGGGGAGCGACGGAGGGCGACGGAGAGCGACGGGGAGCGACGGGGAGCGACGGGGAGCGATCGACGGGCAGGGAGGGAGACGGGGAGCGACGGGGAGCGACGGGGAGCGACAGGGAGCGACGGGGAGCGACGGGCAGCGACGGGCAGGGAGGGAGACGGGGGGAGCGACAGGGAGCGACGGGGAGCGACAGGCAGGGAGGGAGACGAAGAGCGACGGGGAGCGACGGGGAAAATTTCGGGGAGCGACAGGCACAACGGAGAGCGACGGGGAGGGACGGGGAGCGACGGGGAGCGACGGGCAGGGAGGGAGACGGGGAGCGACGGGGAGCGACGGAGAGCGACGGGGAGCGACGGGAAGCGACGGGGAGCGACGGAGAGCGACGGGGAGCGACGGGGAGCGACGGGGCAGGGCTAAACCAACCCTAAGCCAACCCTAAACCTACCCTAAACCTTCCCTAAAACCATGCCGGGCCGACACCCAAAGCCATCCCTAAACCAACCCTAAACCAACCCTCCAACCAGCCCCAAGCCAACCCCAAGCCAACCCTAAACCAACCCTAAAAATAGCCCTTAAACCAAACCTCAACCAAGCCTAAACCGACCCTAAACAAACCCTAAACCGACCCTAAACCAACCCTAAACCAACCCTCAACGGACCCTAAACCAACCCTAAAACCAGCCCTAAGCCAACCCCAAGCCAACCCTAAGCCACCCCTTAAACCAATCCTAAACCAACCCTTTCCCGACCCTAAACCAACCCTAAACCAACTCTAAACCGACCCTAAACCGACCCTAAACCAACCCTAAAACCGACCCTAAACCAACCCTAAACCGACCCCAAACCGACTTTAAACAAACCCTAAACCGACCCTACACCAACCCTAAACCAACCCAAAACGAACCCTAAACCGACCCTAAACCAACCCTACCCTAAACCCTAACCCTAAACCAACCCAAAACGAACCCTAAACCGACCCTAAACCAACCCTACCCTAAACCTCCCCTAAAACCATGCCGACACCCTAAACCAACCCTCAAACCAACCCTAAGCCAACCCCAAGCCAACCCTAAACCGACCCTAAACCAACCCTAAACCAACTCTAAACCAACCCTAAACCGACCCTAAACCAAGCCTCAAACCCTAAACCAACCCAAAACCAACCCTAAACCAACCCTAAACCGACCCTAAACCAACCCTCAAACCAACCCTCAGCCAACCCCCTGCCAACCCTAAGCCAACCCTAAGCCACCCCTGAAACGAACCCTAAACCAACCCCAAACCAACCCTACACCAACCCTAAACCAACCCTAAACCAACCCTCAAACCAACCCTGAGCCAACCCCAAGCCAACCCTAAACCGACCCTAAACCAACCCTAAACCAACCCTAAACCGACTCTGAACCAAGCCTCAAACCAACCCTAAACCAACCCAAAAAACCCTAAACCAACCCTAAACCGACCCTAAACCAACCCTCAAATCAACCCTCAGCCAACCCCCTGCCAACCCTAAGCCAACCCTTAAACCAACCCTTAACCAACCCTAAACCGACCCTAAACCAACCCTAAACCAACCCTAAACCAACCCTAAACCAAGCCTAAACCATCCCTGAACCGACCCTAAACCAACCCTAAACCGACCCAAAACCATGCCTAAACCAACCAGAAACCATTTCCAACACCTGCCCCGGCAGCATTCCAACACCTGTCCAGGCAGGTTCCGACACCTGTGGACTCAACTCCACCTGAGAGATCCTCACTCCACATTTACTCAGGTTGCAGGTGCTGGATCACTGGGATTGTTCTTCTCCGGGGCACGACTTGAGCTGAACAGCTCAGCCATCTGTCGGTCGGTCAACTCTTTCGTTCCAATCTCAGTTTTCTGCTTGCTCTGTGGAGCACTTGCGACTCTCGCTGTCTTCAACATTCTGCCCTCCTGGATTCACTACTGTGAGACTGTTGAACAGCAGGAGAACTTCGGGCAAGTAGAAGCTCGCCTTTGCATTGGCGGCAAGGCTGAGTCGTTGCTGTCAGGTTCTGGGTGTGTCAAAATAGTGGAGCCCAACCGATAGTTTTTGTTTTGGTTCCCTTGAAGGCACTGTTTGTTGTAAGGGGTTCCCTCACGGATGCGTCTTTTGGATTTGATTTTTGTTATTTTTTAATAAGAGAAGAAAAACAAAGGGGGGAGAAAAAAACGGGGGGGGGGGGGAAACACGAAACTAGAATGGACCTTTGTCGACCTCCAGACGAGCCGCCACAGGGAGGACAGGAAGGGCACCAGAAAGTAGGAGGCCTGAGACCGAAACCGAGCCGATGGACACCGGAGATAGAGGCCGAGCACCCAAGGCTTGGGTTGGGGTCCTAAAAAAATCATGGAACAAGGATCCTTACAGTGAACACACCTGAACATTGCAACTTGTAAATGGTGGTGTCCAACTTTTTTTTGGTGGAAAAAGCCATGGGCAATATGTATCTTTTAAGGAGCCCTGTGGAAGGATTCCTGAACCTCCGGCCAATTTTGGACGAAACTGCGTGGCTTAAGTCTGCTTATTCCAGGCAGTGCCGCACGCCCCAAGAGATGCAGGGGGCAAAAGACGCCCTTCTCTCTGCGCACTCGAATTGGATGCACTTAAAGCTCGAAGAACTTACACCCTGGGCTAAAGGAACCATACGGGGTGTAGTTCAAACCCTGGTCGAAAGGAGCCCAGAAAATTGAGTCTCCCTTGGCGGATTCATTTCGGGGTGTCTCACTTCAAGACTTCGGTGGCCGGATCACTCTTGACGACCAGTTCTCCGCCGCCTCGTGGGGGTCCTCCACGATGACTTCGTCCGGCCCCGAGAGGAGCTTGGCGAGGAAGGTGGCCTGGACATGCGGAAACATTTGTCAAACTCTGAGGCTAGGTCCCAAAGGGGGGGGGGGGTTTAGGAGGGTATGTGAAGGGTTGGGGGGTTGGGGGGTTGGGGGTTTTGGGGGTTGCGGGGTTGGGGGGTTGGGGGGTTGGGGGGTTGGGGGGTTGGGGGGTTGGGGGGTTGGGGGGTTGGGGGGTTGGGGGGTTGGGGGGTTGGGGGGTTGGGGGGTATGTGAAGGGTTGGGGGTTGGGGGGTTGGGTTTTTTTCCAGGGATCCGAATCTTTCTAGAAAACCTCCGGAAACCCAGGGAAAACGGATCCGGTTGTTGGAAAGAACGACGGTGGAAAAGAATCGGGAATCATCCCCTAGAGGTATGTGAGGGTCCCTACCCTTCGGCCTTCAAGAAGCTGCGTGCTTCTCCACTCCAGCCTCTCCCTCTCGTAGCCGACTTCGAAAGACGAACCGTTGTGGTTATGCAGCCCCTGCATCTGAAAGATCAATCTGATTGCCCCTGAAAAAAGGTATGGCTTGGAACACCAGTCAAACAACAGTTGACCAGTTGTTCCACTGATTCACAACCCCAAAGCAACTGATATGTGGCTGTGGTTCAAAAAAAGTGGTACCAAAATGGCACATTGGTAAATGGAACCAAAGACTAAACCCCACGTAACCCCAGCTCTTTAATTTTGAGCCATACCCATGTGTTTCGAGCGCAAACGGCAACCATTTCGGCATGCACTGCTAAACATGACGCACTGCTCAAGCAACCCCGCGGCAAGGCGTTTCGAAACTTCGGAAAAAAGCTGAGGACTTTGAGCGGAACGACATAGAGGTCCAAACAATCAGAAAGGGACCTCATGAGAGGTTGGGTTTCTAAAAGGCCTGCATTTGAGTGCTTCTCCGTGTGCTTGTCTGTATCAGCATTCTTGTTGTGGGGTTCCACTCCTCCAAAGAATTGGGGGGACCACACTTGGTGCGGGCCGAGCGACGCAGCCAGGTGGCAAGCTCAAGTGCTGGTGGATGCAACTAAGATGGCATCCAAGGATTTATTTGGTAACTCCGAGGCTTCAGAGCAGTTGACTTCGCTGGTTGCATTGGGGGCTGCCCACAAGCGGATCGTGGATCCAGCAACCCCAAAAGAGTCCGACCGCGAGTCCGGCCTCGGCCGCGTAGGGCCGATAGCCATTGAAGACGCCGCCCCTGGAGCTGTTTGCTCACTGGTTTGACTCCTTCAGAACTTCCCGGGAATTGCCACAAACCCTTAGATCTTGAAAGGGCCCATGCCATTCATAAGGCTCTGTCGACCGGCCGTGTCCTGAGACACACCCGTCCACTTTGTGGGAGATCAACTTCTATAGGGCGTTTCCGGGCCAAAGGCACATGGGGCAAACGGCCAAGAGCACGATACTGGAGACATATGGCCCAAACGGCTGAGACGTGGCCTCATGCGGCGAAAACGCATTCAATGCAACCTGGTTTCATAAATGCGCACCGTTCGCTTGGATGTGTATGAACAAGTGCCAAAACGATTGGCATGATCTTGCACAGCGTGCTGAACCCAGAGACAAATGTGTTAAGACTGAATCGTCTGACATTGCTTTGGTGTTGAATCAACCATCCTGGTGCACCTCCCGGTGCCGAGATGGAACGAAACAGCTGTTTGTTGTCCTCAGTTAGCTCTTCCCTTGAATCCTGCTGCCACATCGCTGGGTAAACAATTGACTCCAAGAAGGCCAGCATGGCTGTTCGGTTGCAAACCAAATCCCTTCGTGAGTTCGCTACAATTTGCTTCACTGTCCCCAAGGCCGATTTCGAACTGACAATGGATCCTGATCAAACCTTTCCAGCCACTTGTGGGGTATGGCATGGTGCCATTTGATTTGTTGCGCTACTTCACATTCCGGGTTTCACAAGCCCCTTTATTAAAAAAAAAAAAACTTTCGGTGCAACCCTTGGAAGATAGAAAAACGCCGCCCCACCGGTGACTCGGATCAATGACACACACCCAACCGTTCTCGGGAGATGCGTCAGGAGGGTTTCAGCAAACCCTTGGCAGACCCATAAGAAGGCTGCGGGAAACGTGGCAAACACAGGGGAAACCAATGGCAACCTCCCCCCCCAACCCCCAACCCACCCACCCCCAACCCACGGCCCCCCGACAGACCGACAGACGGAAAACACTCGACTCGACGCCCGCAGCTCGCAGCGCGCAGCTCGCTTCCAAGCCCGCGGCTCCCCCCGGAGCTCCGTGCAGGGCGACAGCCCAAAGTCGCAGGTCGCGGGGCGCGGCACCGCCTGCGACGGCTGACGCGTCACACGTCACACGTCGGACGTTGGACGTCGGGTCCCAGCGAGAAATTTTGGTTGGGACCGGTCCTTTGGCCCCCAGGGTCGACTTTTTGGTTGGACCCTTCATGTACCTAGAGGTTCGATTTTTTTGCGGATCCCTCATGTACCCAAAGTCATGCCCTTGCGCCACCTTCGTGTTGAGACATGGCATCCCGGGGGTCAACGGCCTGCCAAGCAGCGACACCGGCCATTCCGCTGGAGACCCATTTCAATCCTAGGCGTCCTTTTTGGAGAAAGTAGATGGTGGTAGATGATTGAACCAAACCAAACCAAAAAGGAGACCTATCTCTCAAAATGATCCAGGTGGTTCAATGCAGCCCCCAAAGGCGACTGGCCTGACAGATTCGGCGTGTGACAGGTTCACGGTTTTGAGTGGCTGCCTGTGAGAGACAAACAGCGCGATGGGCATGAATCTTGGTGGAGGGGCCGTTGGTGGACATCGCTTAAGACTCATGTCCACCAGCCGCTTTTGAGGCGGTTCCCATTTAAATTGACCCTTCTGTCCACTACCATGGCCCCCCCTTTAAGGGAAAATCGTCTTCCAGGCTCGGGCAGCTTCCATCTTCGTGGACAAGAGCACTTGAGTGTCCTGGGCGAATGGATGGCCATGGTACACTATGAAACAACCAGGTCAAGCCAAAAATTAAAACTCGCCATCTACTTCTTTACCCAAACAACCATGAAGCAGGTCCTTTACATGGGGTGACCATTGCGGAAAACCACTAAAAAGATGATACATCCCACATGGGAAAAGCTGCCCATTGGTCATTTGGGAGGGCCTTTCACGGAACCCCAAATCCATGGACTTGATTAAAGCAAAAAGAACTGGGCCAAACCATCAGAATTGACATAAAGTCAGAACAACAACTGATGGACCAAACCACAAAATCCGAAAGCACCAGAGGCCAACGGCAACGAACTCTCCGCGGCGAGCTCCCCTCACCGCCACCGCGCGGGGCGTGGCCTCCCGCAGCCTGCCGTGCAGCTGCGCCAAGGGCTCGCTGTGCACTGCCCCCGGCAGGTTGTAGACCTCCGGTTTGGAGGAGGATTCGGATATGCGGGGGCCCCGGGAAGGGGGGGGGGGACTTGGATGTTCGGCTGGTTTGCTAAGTACTTGCCCCACTTGGCGGACTTAGCTAAGTCCGCCGACCTGGGTTATAACTAGGTTGCAACTTCGCTAACCTGAGTTTTAACCTCGCAAAGTCCGCCTGGCCCGGTTGGCAAACGTTCTAAGCTGGGCTTCCCCAAAGAAGAAACAGTGGCTGGCTGTTCCTTTGGGTTCGCCTTCAGAATGCATCTGAGGAATGTGGGCGAAGTGCAATTCACCAACTGGATGTGAGATGTGGATCCTACTGAAGGAACCTTGGCATGCATGCTCGCGTGTCGCAGAGCATTTGTGCCAGGACTCGAGTTGAGAACCACCCCCCCCCTCCATTTCCGGAGTTTTTTTCTGCCGGCCCAGGTCTAGTTTGCTTGGGCCAAAGTTGATGACTCCCCTTACCAAAGCCAATCAAGAATCTCTTGCGCCTTGAACGGACTTCATATTCCGACAACTTGTGGTACAAGAAGTAAATCACACTTGCCGAACAAAAGTGAGGCAAAGTTTTCATCTCTTCAGACGGCAAGTTCACCATCGCGCTGGGGGTTGGAACATGGATGGCAGACATGCCAGGCTCAAAGGCTGAAAGGGATGAAGCTCTTCACTGGCTTTGTACCCAGCTGGTGCACCGCAACGGCAACAAAATGTCTGCTGTTTTGCCATCCCCAAACTTTCATGAAACCTCTCTGGCCTCAAGCCGTCTCTTTCTTATGTTCCAGACAAATGATGTGTATACTTACCATGGCCACGTCTCTTTGCACACTCCAACGGCAAGTCACAAATGAGGTCAGAAACGAATGGAGGTCAGACGTTCGGGTAAAAAAAAAAAAAGAAGCAAAAGCACAACAAACGCCAGAAGCGCGTTTAGGTTGACCCAAAAGCCTTGGGTTCCTGTGGTGTCCCTCACATCACCCCAACAAACGGAGCAAATGGCCCACAAAACCGAATCCAAGGACTCCTCTTCAGCCAGTCGAGGTTCGCACGTAGAAGCGCAGGCGGCTCCGCTTTCCGCGGAAGTCGTCTTTGTGCGCCTGGCTGACGGGGTGAGGAATTGAAGCTTCAGAGGTATTTGCCGACTTCCTTTGCTGCTTTCCTTGATCCCGTTCGCGGGATGCCGGCAGGCTCGACACTACCCGACTGGATATTGGAAAGATTGGGGTCATGAGTCGTGCAGTCCTGACTCTGACAAGTCTCACTAAGAAATGGAAGAGGGGACCTGGAACAATCCTTAAAATCCTGGGGGAACGCCGAGAGAGCTGTGGGTCCGGCGTGAGAAAAGGGGTAAGTAACTACACCGCCACTGGGCTGGATCAATCTTGCCACCCTCTGCGAACTTCTTACTCGAAGGGAAGCCGCCACGTTCATCCTTTGAGCCACTCATCCAGAGTCGGCTCCCCCTCCCGCGGCCTGATGATAGTTACCAGGGCTAGGCCTTCAAGAACACTTCAACGTGTTCCAAGGGGACTTGAATATAAACATGCATATATATATATATATAATGTTGTTTGTTTGCTTTTAGTGTGTATATATATATAATGCATGTACTTGAATTTGATAATATATACATATATACACATTCATATTTGCGACCGGTCCCTGAACGGCATCCAGCTCCTTGCGTTGCTAGGCACCTGCCTTTCTTCTGCTCCATGTGCAAGGCCTGACGTGTTCCCTGTGTGAGTTTGTCGCCATCTCGGCGTGGAAACAAACACTTGGGAATGTGATCCCTTAAGCACGGCACGAATTGCCCTAATTACCCCCCAAAGTCCGTTGGCAGGTGCCAATGTCCAACCCAAAACCGTGCCTAAGGCGGTGCATGGAACGCGCCTCCATCCGCCCGGAATGACCGCTCCGTTGGCATGTGCCAATGTCCAACCACAAAAGCCGTGCGTGCAAGGCTCTGCTTGAGGAACGCGCCTCCATCCGCCCAGAAAAAACAACCGCCTCCCCAAAACTCCCGAGCGCCGAGTAACCGCCTGCCTGCACGTGCACTCCCAGAGGCCCGCGGGCTTGGATCTGCGCAGCAAATTGGGCGGGGGGTGTCAATCTCAGCACCTGGCTACAGGAAACCAAAAAGGCTTCATCCTAAGTACCAACAGCATCCCCTCTCAACGTGGTTGTGGCACCACAGGTTGAAGTCTAACGCCACAACTCCAACTTCTGAACAGTTCGGTTCTACGGAACAGCGGGCCTTGGCGACCATGCGCCATCGCTGCCACGGCAGAATGGAAGCTCTCTCTTTCCATGCTCTGTACCGTCCTACATGCACACTCCTCTCACAGACATCGGATGATGGCGAGGTTTAGTTTCGTCAGTGAGTCTCTCCCTGCATCATCTACCAGGTTTTGATCGTGGCCCACATGTGACTTGCGACCTTCTGGCATCAGGATGCAAAATGTACTGGTACGTTCACCGTTTGGGGTTCTATGTTCATCTGCGTCGATTTTTAGGGGACCCCCAAATTGCTTCGGTCTCCTTTGGCTTCCCTTGAAAGGCCCAGAAAGAGGCACCCTCAAACAAGCCATCTGGAGTGTAACCAGTCGATTCGTCCGCCTCCCAGGGTCTGCCCAAGCGCCCGAAGATGGTCTCCTCAGATGGTGCGAATGGCACTCCCTCTACCTCCGTGGAACCATGCGGGAGGTCGTGCCTACCTTCATCCCATACAGGAACACCTCTTGAGGCTCCGCCTGGATGAAATGAATTTGGGAAGGTCAATCTGTCGACACTTGGGCCCCAAAGGCCTTGGGCGCGCATTGGCGATTGCGCTCTCTGGGCTTCCGAAGCCTTGCATATTCTTCGTGTCTTCTTTGGGGCACAGAGGACATCAGTTTTGGGGGCCTGGAAACAACGAACAATCCACAATCCACAATCTGCGGAGAGAGTTCTAGGCAAAATACAGACATGGTTCAGGTAGCACCAAGCAAAACCAATGCCACTGGGAAGATTCACGCTGCTAAGAAACCCGAAAGCGCCTGCCCGAAACCGAAAAAGAGCAAAAGGGCCCCCTAGGCATCGGACAGCTTCCCTCCAACTCTTGGTTGGCGTTGGAAGGGGAGCAAAAAAATATGCTTTAGCAGCTAAGTGGGGAGTTCCCACCAAACCACAATAAGCAAAAATGTAAAATGTTTCCCAACGACAACCATGAAGTGGTGGTTTGGGCGAAACGGGGTGGGGGTTCCCCATTTGCGCTCAAGAACCAGGGCTTCAAATCCAAATCCCGGGCTCCAAACCACCTCACACCTGCGCCCATCAGGAGGGCGAAGCTTTGCGGTTTCCCCCACGCCAAGGTTTTTTTTTTTTCTCGGGAAAGCACACGGCCAATGTCGGATCCCTGCCAGGCTCGGAAACCTGGAGGCGTCCTGCAAGACCGCAAATACGATGCATAGATGCACAACTCAAAGAAGAAATGTCAAAACCGAGTACATAACAAGTAAATGAGTGCATGAAACAATGCAGAAACAAATACCCAGTAAACACGTAAGTAAATAAGTAACAAAGTGAACACATCAGTCAACAACTAGATACAGAAATACTTGGAGAGATAAAAAAAAAGAGAGAATAAACACACAGCAGTTGATGAATCAACAAACACATGAATGACACGCAAAAATCATCACACATCAGCAGCAAACAACTGTGCATACATATGTATATATATATATATACATGTATATATATATATATACACATATTCATATGCTTGAAGTAAGTAAACAAACATCTGCACATGTCTAGCAGAACCATCGTCTGTCCACACGAGGGCTGCCCAAGGGCCTCGCAAAGTGCTGCTGCCGCGCAGACTCGACGCCTCCCGCGCTCGTCCCCGCGGAATCGGGTCCGCTCGGTGGTTGGCCTTTGGAGAGATCATCCAAGGAATATTGATCAACGCGCATATGACTCTGGGCTTATAATTACTCAAGTTGTGAACAAATACATCCACACCATTGCATGATGGAAAAAAAAACAATTGACATTCTTGAGCACAAAACCAGGCATATGTGCTCATGACTTGCGAACGGGAGTCGCCGGGAAGCAGCTCGTCTTTGCCGGGCCCTGTGTTCGTGGGATGCTGATGGTTGCTCATACTAGAACCACCGGAAGGGAGGAGGAACTCGCCTGTGAAG